GACGGGGCGCCATGGGACATCCTGCCACGCGCCGAGAACTGGATAACACTGCCAGAGAGTTTCTCGAGGCGGGCGGTGGCCACATCATTGCTGGTCTGGGCATTCAGAAACCAAACGCGGGGTGGCGGTAGCAATGAACAGGTGGTGGTCCTCATGCATTGCCAATTTTGTCGCTGCGTCGGAGAGGCGCGCGCTGGCGCGCGCGCGAGGAGGGCCGCGCGCAGAATTTCCGCAGCGCAGTTTCATCGTTCTGGGCGCGGGGGTTGTCGCGCGCAACGCGCGCGCTATTATCGCGCATCCGAAAAGAAGCCCAGGGCGCGCGGCGTCAGTCCCTGGTGGGGGTTGACTTCAACGCGGGAGCGGGCAGTTAGCTGAAACCATGGGCTCCCAGGGGAAGCTCATCCATCGCGGACGCATGCTCCCCGAAGGCGCGCGCGAAGGATCCAGTCCAAAGCCGCGCCAGACATTTCTTGCCGGTGAACGAGAATACGTGGAAACGAACGCTCGACGTTGGCAGCGTGTCAGACAGTAACATGGGATCTGACCACGCATCCGCGATTCGTTCATTGCGCGTTGAAGACTGCAGTTTGCCGGGGCAGTCCGGCCGCTGCGCGCCAGTCGCACGACGTAGATATCAACGTTGACACGCCGGGTGAATAATGCGATTTGGGGCGGGGATTTGGATGGCCAGTCGCGTAAAGTGGAAAGGCTGCCAGTCGAAAACGCGGCTGGGTGCTGCGTTTGCGCGCGCGCCGGGGGCGGCGAGCTCCTCCCGGAAGTTCGGGGGGGCAGCCGCGGATTGATCCAGATACGAAAGACAGCTCGAAAATGGGCGCGCCGCGGAGCGGGCCAAAATCAGCAAGGAGACCGCCAAACGCATCGAAAGTCTTCGCCGGGCGGGGCGCGCGAGCCGCATGGGCGAGATCATCCGGTTTGTCCAGTATTACGCGGATGCTGATGTTGAAGAATGAAGACAAATGCGAAAATGTCTACGATGACCTTGCGCGTTGGATGGTGGCGCGGGCATCGCCGACCGCGAGGGCGCGGTCAACGATGTCGCCGAATCTCACGGGCATATTCATTGTCAGCGTCGCGGAGCGGGCCCGCGCCCAGGGCGCGATTCAGGGGCACATTGTTCTGTTACCCGGGCTGAGATTCAAGGCGCGACCAAGCAGCTGAACGACGACAGTTGCGCTGTCGGCGCTGGAGCGGCGTTTGAAATGACAAGCAGCGCTGGCAATCTCACTCTTGGAGCGCTGGTAGGTCCACGCAACGAGACGCCGAAGACAGGCGCGAAGTCGCCGAAAACATGGAGGGAGGCTGCGATTGAAGGCATCCACAGTCGGGCGATGAGCGCGCGCCACAAGACCGCCGGCCCATAACGGTCATCCTTCGCCTGCGCAAGTTGTCCATGCGCCTTCTGCGCGACAGATTGCACTATTATGGGGCCGCCGCCGCGCGGCGACCAAGCCGGCTTCCGCGCCGGATTCCACGCGAAAGACAATTTGTCCGCCGTCGCGATGATCCAGGAAAAGCAGACGGAGTCGAATCCGTGGAACACCAGGCGCTGGAGTTTCTTCTGTCGGCATAGCGCGCCGCTGCAGTGCACGCGAATCCTCGGAGGTCTTGGCGCTGAGAAGACAGCCCGAGTCACGGCGGACACGCAGAGCTGATGTTTCCCCGGGATTGCGAGGAACTAGACAAAGATATCTTCTTAGCTCGTAGATATGTAATACTGCGCTGCAAGACGCGATGCGCCCGATCAAGGAAAAATTGTTGGAGCGGGGCCGCGGCGTGCCACGTGGGCCCCCAGCGTCTTCGAATGCGACGAATCTACGCCGTGCGGACTAGGTTCTCTTGGTCGCCAGGGCGAGGCGCCAAATCAGACGCATGTTGTCGGATGTGAGTTCCGCGGTTGCCGCGGTCGGTTTTGCTTCCCGCGCCTACGAACATGCGCATGGATGATCGCGGGCAAAGACAAGAAGCCAGGGCACGCAGAGCAATGTTATTTCCGACGGTTTAAAAGGAGAGATTTGGCATGCATGCAGAACTGGGCCGTCGTATTCGGCAGTCTTGGACAACGTTCATGGCGGGAGAGACGGAAGCCGCAAACCAGAGATACCAGATGTCTTCTAGTTTCGAGCTGTTCGAGAGCACGATCGCGCCGAACGTCGCGCGCGGGGCATCGTCGTGGACCTTGGCGCGGGAATCGCAACTCTCGGGGCTCGCTGGGGTGTAGTTGTCTGGGATTTCAGCGCCCGGCGCACAGACGCTGGCGACGCGGCCGACGCGAGCGACAGCTTTTCTGCAGACAGCGGCTTGGGCGACGACGACTAGGGCCATGGCGACCATGGGCCGCGGGCTCCTTGGATGCAGCGCGTGACGGCGACAGCGCAATATCATATGGACAAGTTGGTAATCGATAGTTGGCGCGCGGCATGGCACCCAAAGACGCGCAGCTTCGCGCACCGCCTGGCCGTGCCAAGCTACGACAGGTGGACAATCAAAGCGGCATCATGGCAACTCGAGATTTCCAGATATTGCTTGGGTCGTCCGGCCCACCGCCCAAAGAAGATATGGGTTGACGATTTCATGACGTGTTTGCAGGGACAGGGCTTTGGCGCGACGGCCAGCAAGTGATTTGAATTTGCAGTTGACAGTCCAGTTTGGGACACGTTTGAAACAAAGTACGTGGCGATGCTATTTGCCCCAACGCGTTCCTCATCTGAGCGCTGCGGAATTGTCCGCCCACTCTTGCCAGGAACGCGCTTCGGCGTGATGCGGGCGTCTGTCTGTGTATTTGTCTGTCTGTCTGGCTGTCTGGTTGCTGGCTCCTACAGGTGCTCTAGAGGTCCCCGTTGGGGCCTTTGTCTTCACCCAGCCATTTCGGTCACCCCACATTATCACCCGCCCGATCCTATTTTACGGCAGGTTCTCGCCGGAGTAGTAGATCAGTACAACGTGACAGACGAGAAGGTCAGTGCATTGCGATGGGGGAAGCTCCACCCAAGCAGCTCTTGCAGAAGCACGCGGGGCGCAAAACTATTGCGGACGTCTGACTTCAAAAATATGTGCCGGGACTTCTAATTCACCCATGACGTGTGTCGATCGAAACCGCAAAAATGCCGATCTCCCCCAGACATCATGGCCCCTACTCTTCAACGTTAGAACCTTCCCACCCCCCACTGGGACAGGGCAGAGGGGGCAGGGTATTTCTCCCGGCGTGTTTTCTCCAGGCGGGGATGGGTGCGACAAAACCCGAACGCGACGGCGCCCATCCCCACTTAGGGGGGGTAGGTCGGCCAGTGGGGTCAAGCTTTCCACGGCGGGGGGTGGGATGATTTTTCTGTCCAGGCCAGTGCGTGGCTTCCCTCGCGGCTACGCGCGGACGGGCGGGGGGCTTCTCAGGAACACCCTTGTTTTTTAGAAGGCGCTGGCCTTGCGTATGGATGGAAGGCCAGCGTTTTCTAAGAAGCAGCCTCCTTCTGAGAAGCCTTTTCCCCCTCGCACCCCCTTATGCGCACCGCCAGCCCTCGTTGAGCTCCGCCAGTTCGGACACAGCTTTCGTCAACCCTTCTGGTGGCGCGTGCGTCGTATCGAAGGTTTCGGGAGGGAACGCACGCGTCGACGATGAGATACGCTACGACCGAGGATCAGCGAACGTTGGATTACGACTCAGGGCTTCGTCTCGGGGCGTTCGGGCAGTTCGTTGGTCCCCAGGGGTTTTTCAGTTTCGGGATGCATTCCAGCAATTGCGCCTCGCCGAGAGCGGCCAGTGGGTGCCCACATCGTCCCAAACGGCCTCTTGTGGCCTGAGTTATGGCACGAGGGCCGAAACCCAAGTCAGGGCATTGTCAGGGGAGATGGGCTCAGGGGCGGATGCATCGACCACCAATGGTCCATTTATCGCCGATAGGGGGAGCGATTGCCCATTCTGCCAGGGGGTGTACGGATTCGTTATCGGTGGCCTACGGCGATGTATCGCTGATACTAGGTCGAGGTTTGCCCCCCTGAGCTTGTCGAGGCGCTTGGATTTGCGGCGGATCCCGCTTCCGTGCAATATATTTATCGGCGCGCGGCGTCGCCACATCAGGCGGCGTTGGCTGGCCTCCTGGGTTGTGGGGGGAGGCGTCGACTAGCGAGTAGCGTTGGTCACCTTACTCCTCGCGCCCACGTGCCAGGTCCATGGATATGTAATCCATGTCAGCGTGCGCCTGATCGGGTACTCCTGTTTCACCCACTTACGGCGAACGCGCTCTGACGATATCGTTTCATGGAAGGCCAAGCGTGTTTCGCTGGCATAAAGATGTGCCTTCAGTGAGTTGGTCGTGCCCAATATCCGAAATCGGTGTGAATCCCTTGAGCATCCAGGGTTCAGGTTGTTCGGTTGTGTTAGCCTTCTCGGTGCCTTCCGAGGCCCCAGAGACTTCCAGGGACCTCATAGAGGACCTCCAATGGACCTGTAAGGGACTTTGGGACCAGTTGAGACCATCACTACAGTCAACTGGCATAGGAAGCATGAACGCCTTTCCAAGGTTGCCCTTGCATCCTTCCCTTTCGGCCCATCCTTGGCCGCTCTTTCGCTTGGCCGCGCCGCGCTCGCAAAGTGTCGCCATGGCCTTCCAAGCACCTTGCATCCCGTGCGTCCTTCTTTTACGGGTTGACTGCACCCCTCTGGGGCCCGACTCCCGGTTCTCCAGGAGCAGGAGGAGGGGGGAGGACCGAGGAGGGAGGAGGGAGAGCCGAAGATGGGGAGGAGGCAGGGAGAGCGGAGGGATGAGGGACCGAGGGACGAGGGGAGGGAGAAGGAGGAGGAGGAGGACGAGCAGGAAGAGGAGGACGACGACGACGAGGAGGAGGAGGAGCAGGAGGACGACGAGCAGGAGGAGGAGGAGGGAGGGAGGGAGGACCGAGGAGGGAGAGGGGGATGGGAAACCAGGATAGTTTATTGGGACCGATGGTCGTTAGCGAGGGCCTCGGAGGTCGGTCGCCGCTACCTGATGGCGGCCGACCAGGCGCCGAGCTCCCCGCTGCTCAACAGCCGGAAGCGGTCCACGCCGAACTTCTCGGGCGGGCGGCAGCGGGTGGAGGCCTCCTTCTGCATCTTCAGGTTGGCTCTTGGAGGCAGTTTCCCCCTCTCGCGATGCCTTCTTCAGGCGATCGCAAATATGGATGAAGAGGGCGTGGATTAGCGACGGGTCCCGTTTCCCTGGGCAATTGCGGATTCCCGTCGCCGAGCGAGGCGGCACTGGCCGCATTTCGCCAAATCCATGGATCGCTAATCCATGTTTGCGCGCCCCCGATTTCTGGTGGCCGCGCCTCGCCGAGAGCGCTCTGGGTGTGCCCGACGCGTCTCGAACGACCGGCAGATGCTCAGGTGCTCAGGTCATGCGGGGGGAAGGGTTCGCAGGGGCCCAAGCTTTCTCTGCACGGGTCGCTCACGGTCCCTGGGGCCAGTGGCGAAGGCCACCTTTCGGAGCAGTTCCCCAAGCCTCGCAAAAAGAGGGACCGATCGGACGGTAGACAGCGACGCTTCCAACATTCAGGGCAGGGGAGTGCAGTCAAACGCCACGGGAAGGATGCAGTATTTCTGCAAGGGCACCCTTGCATCCTGGCCTCCTCGGCCAATCCTTGCCACCTCGGCCAATCCATGGCCAGGTTTCACATCCAAGGGTGCCCAATGTGCAAGGGCCTTGCATCCTTATCTTGGGCCCTTCCTATGGATTCTGATTCTGCAGGTTACACCTGTCGACCACGTTGGGAAGCGGGTTGAGAGTTCAGGCGCCGTTGAAGGCCCACGCAGGGCCATTGTCCTGCGCCCCCGTCGCTCGCCTCTCGTTGACTGTGCCCCCTCCGTTGACGTCCACCCGACGTTCCTGGATAGACAAACGAGCTTGGACAGACCGGAGGGCTTCGAGCGAGACGCGTTCAGCAACGACTGCAGGGTATGCTTCGAGAAGCCTGTGCGGGTGGTCCTGCTGCCGTGCCGCCACGGAGGCCTATGCGAGGACTGCTATAAGGGCACGTTGTTCTCCAGACCTCCCCACCGCGGAGGCCGGCAGTGCCCATTCTGCCGCCAGACCATTCAGGAGGCAGTGCAGTTGTGTCCCCTTCCCGGGGAGGCCTTGCAGTACGGTTACGGTGTCAAGGTGCTTTAGGGGGCGGTGTTTGCCGCGTGGCAGAGGGAGTGAGGGAGACGCTCCGCGGTGCGCGCGAGGAAGACGCAGAGGGGCGGGGGGCTGAGGCTTCCGAGAGGGTGGAGGGCTTGTCTGAAGGGCTACTAGGGGCAGGTTCTAAGAGGCTTCTAAGAGGGGGAGGGCTTCTAGACAGGTTCTATTGACAAGGCCCGCGAGGACTTCTGCGACGGATTAATCGAGGCTAGGAGAGCTTCGGAGAAGCCCCCTGCCTTCGTAGAAGATCCCCCGCCTTCTTTCGGAGGCCCACCCCCTTTGCGCCACCCACGTGTGCGCGCCGCCAAGATGCGCGGGGGGGTATAGGCGGAGGCCCAGACGCCGGCACCAGCACCTGCACCGTGCATCGACGGCCGCGGTGCCAGCAGAGGAGGTGTCTCCCCGATTACGGCATTGGTGGTGGCATCCAGGTTGGGCCGCGGTTCCTGTTTGGTTAGATTAGGTATCGGTGCTGGTATGTATACGAGTTATGGTCTGTGTGTGCATGTATCTATGCATGCATGCATGTCTAGATTCTGGTAGTACGTCTGTATATATACATATAAGTATATATGTATGTATGTACGCATGCAGGAAGGAAGGAAGGCAGGGATTAGTGATGTAGGCATGCACGTATGTATGTATGTGGATATGTATGTTTGTACGTACGTGTATACGCACGTATGCATTTATGTGTGTAGGTAGGTGGGAGGTAGGTGTGCGTGCATGTATGCATGTATGTATGGATGGATGGATGGATGGATTGATTGGTGTATTATGCGTGGAAGTGTGTGCATCCATTCATTAAGAAGTTGTACATCTATCGTTCGAGGTCGAGCACATGCCCAATCTGGCACAATCGCGATTCATCCAGACTACTCCCGCTTCAGTAGGCACAATCTTGGCCTTCCTCCGGCTTCATCGCCCTTCCATCGTACTCCATGCTTTTAAATCGTTCGTGCGAAGGCCCAGGAGTTGCTGCTTAATCCAGGCAATCTCCCACATTGGGCCCCCCTGACTAGGTGAAGGCGATCGCCAGTGCTGGTGCCGGTGCCGGCGTCGCAGCCCCCGCGACGGGGGAGGGGGGAGGGAGGGCCAGGCAGGCCAGCCGGCGCGTGGCTCGCCCGCGCTCCGAGGAAAAAGCCTGCGCGACGGGAGCGTTCTCAATGGGAGGCCCCTTTCCAGCCATTATTGCTGGGCACGGGCGGTCCCGATCGGCGGTCACATGTGAGCCTTACCCCAAATTCACACGATTTTTCAGGGAGGGTTCACTTTGTTCGGGAGTTCCCGAGCGCAGTGAGTCCCACCCTCTCCTCAGAAATCGTAGGGGGGGGGGGTCGGGTTCGCATGTGGCCGCCTACTTGGATGGCCTCGACGCCTGCTAAGGGTTTAAGTTGTGTTTTGTTACAAGAACGTAAATCGTCAAGTTCTCGTCGCGACTTAGCTAAGTTCTTAGCTCCGCACTTAATAAGTGGCTCGGTTCTCTCATCTAGCACAGACTTAGCTAACCACTCGTATATAGTTAACTAAGTGCTTTTAATGGTTAGCGAAGTCAGCTCACCACATATGAACAGTAATCCACGCATGTTATAAGCGCCTTAGCTAAAAGTTTGCGTTTGCTTGCCAAGTCCTCTGAAGAGGCAAAACAATAATGCTCCCTTCTGAAAACAAAAAAACCGTTTGTTCGCTGACCGTTGCAGCGCCACATACTTGTCATATTCAATGTGGAGCCGTCGTCTTTGATGTTTGTGTTTGCGTATCGAGAGCGTTGCAGCGCTGTCTTCTGATGTGGAAATGAAGCGCTGTAGCGCTGTATTCTAGATTTTGAAGTATGACTCCAAGTTGCGTGTTGATCGGTTCTCAAGTGTCACCCATCTCCGTTGGAGCGGAATTTCAATCCGCATTCGACCAATTTAATGTTGCACGCGTTGCACTTGACGATTCGCATTGCGCTCTGCAGCACGCCAAATTTCGCAAAACATGTTTGTAGCGCCTTTTCGCCTCACGCTGCAGCGCGAGGCGCGCTCGTGTCTTGTGAACCTCGGGCCGGAGCCCGTCTGCTGTTGCATTTGCTCCATATCCCTCTCCGCGAACGCCGCGCGGGCGATCAGCTCGATTCAAGGCCGCGCGGCCGCGCGGCATCTGCAGGCCACCCGCGCGGCGCGCAGGGTGGCTTTCTGCGCGCTCGCGCCGACGCGCGCATCGCCGCGCGCCGCCACGGCGCCGCTCGCGGCGCCCTACTCGGGACGACTGGCGCCGGGATGGTGCCGCCTGAAGGACTGCCTTCAAGCAGAGGGGCTGGCGTGCCAGCTCCAAGCGCCGCCCGCCCAGGTGGGCTCGGACATAGAGAACCGTTCTGGTTCCCTTGTGACCCCTGCGCGGGCTCGCAACACCGGCGCCGAGATATGCTCCCAGGGGCCCACTCGAAGACGACGAGCGCAACGGCCTGCGAGGCGACGCCGCGCGGGCCCCAGCTGGACGAGGCGCTAAAGGCCAACGAGCGCCTCTCGCGCCTTTGCGGGGGGCGTTGCCCCCCGCTGAATTCGATGCGATGCGCGTCGGTTGGCGGGCCACGCGCCGGCATGCTCCTGCGTTTGGCGATCGCTATAGCACCGACGACGGTGGAGGCGATCGCAGACTCGAGAGGTCACGTAGACGCAGCGCGTCTTTGCGCCCCCCCAGCCGCAGTTTGCGGCCACGCGCGATAAGGGATTGCACTGGCCCGCCATCAAGCGCGAGGCGGCCAGCGCGACGGGCGCGGGGGCTTTCGCGCGGCGGGCTCTGAACGCGGGCGCGCGCGAGGCCGTGCGCGAGACAGAGATCATTCGAATTGGTTGCAGCCAGTCCGCTTGACATGAGGCTCGGGCGCATTCAGGGATAGCAGGGGCGCGCGCTGCGATGGCAAAGATCAGGGGGCGAGGAGGGGGAGGATGAGGAGGAGGAGGGGGGGGGAGGGGGAGGAGGCTTGGGGGGGCGAGGAAGAGGGAGAAGAGGAGGTGGATGATAAAGTGGAGCAGAAGCAGGAGGGTTATATAATGAGGGTTTATATGTGTGCGCAGCGCGCTGCAGCGCGCGGTCGGCGTTTCCCGCAGGCAGGTGCGCGGGCGCTCTTGGCGCGCAGCCTCGGACGACGCGGCCAAGCCTGACTGGCAGGACATCGCCGGGCAAGCGGCCCACGCGAATCCACCGTGCTAGCCGCGGATTCCAGAGCGCTGCAAGTCGGTGGAGCTCGGGGTCCTCTACGAGGTCGACAACGCCCTGACGACCTTCGCGAGCGTGGAGGTTACAGGGCAGACCCCGATGATCGGGCCGGAGTCCCAGAGGAAGGTCGACCCCATCAAGTGGGGCAAGCACAGCGAGAGCTACCCCCGCGTGGTCGCCAGCTTCATCGAGGCGAACTACGCTGGCGATTTAGTGGTCGACGGGATGTGCAAGACCATCTATCAGCCCGTCGGCGCTTCCTTCCCCCCGCCCCCTCCCCTTTCCCCTTGATGGCATGCGCTGCGGCGCATGGTGCGTTGCTGCGCATTGCGCTGCATTGGCGCGGGAGTTGCGCACTGGCGTTGCAGTGCGGCGGATTTAGGCGAGTGACATATCCGTCGCTGTCAGCCCCGCTCGCAGGGGCGACGTGGTCGCGGCCGACAACCGCACGAGCGACGCGCGCGCGCCCGTGCGGTTGGTGGATGGGGCGCGGGTGTACGTTCGCAAGAGGATGGACGCGCGCCTCGCCATGTACTTGGCGAAGGAGAAGGCACCCGGCGATCGCATCTATCAGCGCGCGTCCGACACCGCGCAGGCACGCGCTGTCCTCAATGGCGCGTTGGGCGGGTTCCCCCACTCCCCATCCTATATAAACCTGGCCCCGCATCGTCGTCGTCGCCGCGTCGTCCGCTCATCGTTTCTGTCTACATCGCTGCAGCGATCTCGAAGGGGGCCCTCGAGGAGTTGGGGGTGGGGCCAGCAAATTGGCACGCGAGGGCAGCGTGAATTGAGTTCAAGTGGCTCGCTGGCCAGCAGCCAGACGGCGACGCGCCCGCTGCAGCTGTCGCCGCCGACGCCGCGCCGACAGGGGGCGGCTTGCGGCGACGTCGGTCGCCGACGCGCAGGGCAACGCGCTCAGGATAAAGAGGGTTGGCTTCGACGTCTCAAAGTTGGTCACCTTGCATAAAGATTCGAATGAAGCTATGCGGTGGTCGGTATCTCTGAGGATGGGCATTGCCACGCACCAGAAGCAGCACGGCAACCTGGTTGGCGAGGAAATCGCAGCGGCAAGGCTGCAACCGCCCCGCCGCCCATGGGAGCAAGGAAGGTCGGATCAGGAGTCGCTTCAGGGATTGCATGATGCTGGTGCTGTTATAGATGGTGGTGGCAACGGCGACGATGATAATGTTCTTGTACTGCAATCGCTCGACGTCTTGTTCGGCGCGCTGCAGCGCGCCGAACCAGAAATCGAGCGGGCGGATTGCAGTGGGTGGCCTGCTCGAGACATGCGAGGTGATTCCCAGGGCGCTGGAGCAGGCGTCGCTCGCGAAGGAGCATCTGCCACCGGCCCGCGAGGGCTGGGCGATGGATGCGTTCAAGCTGGCGTGCCACAGGGCGCCGCGGCTCCACGCTCTGAAGCAGCATGCGAACATGGCGCACCTGGAGATCATGTAGGGCCCACCTGCCGCGCGCTGCAAGCGCGCGTTCAAGGCTGGCGAGCTCGTCATACATCTGCTTCCGCAGTCCTCCGCGGGCCCCCGACATCGGGCCGCGGCGCTGCGCGGGCCCGGATTGAATCTGGATTTCGGGCGCGCAATGCCGCGGCGACGAGGCCCCCGACGATATCGTTTGCGCGCTACTTGGCTCCATGGGGGGGGGGTCGCATTCCGACGGCGTCCGCGACGGCGAGTGCAGGCTGCTCTGCTGAGAGCATTTCGCTGGGGAGGTTTGGCAGTGCGAGTTTTTTGTGAGCCTTCAATTCGCCCCCCAGGCAGACGCGGCGCGCG